TCACTGAATGCAGAGAGGTGGGGCTGGTGCCTGCATGGAGCCTGCACACCCATGTCCTAGCCTCCTGGGTATGGGAAGGTGCTCTCTAGGCTACAGAAAGATACCTGGACACCCACCAGCCTTTGACAAACAATCTGTCCCGGCTGCCAGACGTGCTGGGGCAATGGTGCCTCAGAACTTGTGCTCGTGGCCAAAGTCTGCTTTAACTTGAGCCCCATTCCACCAGCGGGAGCCCATGTTCAACACTGCTTGGACAGCCAGAAACCAGAAACTGGATGGCCCCAGGGACCTGGGGTAGAACCAACAGGACTGGTTAAAAAAAAAAAATCAATGAAATGACTTCTAATGATATTCTGCTATACTCATATGATGGAGGAAGGTCATTGGTTAAATAAAAAGAAACTGCTTGGCCCTCATTGGTTAGAGGATAGGTGGGAGGAGTAAACAGAACAGAACGCTGGGAGGAAGAGGAAGGGAGCTCAGACTCCACAGCTCTCCTCTTGGGAGCAGACGCCTCAGAGAGATGCCATGCGCCCAGCTCCCAGGCAGACACACGCAATGAAGCTCCGACCCAGGATGGACATAGGCTAGAATCTCCCTGGTAAGCCACCTCGTGGGTTACACTAGAAATGGGCTAGTCCAGGTGCGAGAGTTAGCCGAGAAGAGGCTAGATAGAAATGGGCCAAGCGATGATTAAATGAATACAGTTTGTGTGTTGTTATTTCGGGCATAAGCTAGCCAGGCAGCCGGGGTGCTGGGGACGCAGCCCCGCCGCCCTTATTACTACACTCATAGATCAGTGCTTTGTCCAGTCATCCTCAGAGAGGCCTCCTGAGGCAGCAGATGGGAGCAGGTGCAGAGACCCACTGTCTGAGAGAGAGAGAGAGAGAGAGAGAGAGAGAGAGAGAGAGAGACTCAATCATAGGTCTCCACCAGGTCCCTTTCCTTGCCACTTGGAATCCCATGGAAAGGGGAAAGACTATAGGAGTCAGAGGGGACGGAGGACACCAGGAAAGCATGGCCCAAAGAATCAACTGAACAGGTCCAAGGTCCAGAGAGAACCAGGTCCTGTGTGCACACTGTGGCTGTCAGCTGGTGCTTTTGTGGGGCTCCCAACTGTGGAAGCCGGTGTGTCTCAGACTCTCTTGCCTGCTCTTGGGCTCTTCCCCGCTGGGCTGCCATGTCCAGCTTCAGTGTGAAGGTGCTTCCACCTCACTGTGTGTTTTGTTTGTTGTGTCTGCTCTTTTCTGGTGGGAGTGGGAGAGGGAGGGGATCTGAGGGAGAGAGGAGAAGAAAAGCAGGGAGGAGTGGGGAGGGAGTATGGTCGAGATGTATTGTATGAGAGAAGAATCTAAAGTTATTTGATAGTCTCCAGTTCCTTAATGGCAGCACCAAGTTGTATCCAGCAGCGCCTACTCTCCACCCCGCAGCCCCTTGTCCTTTCAGCCCTGCTCTCCAAGAAACAAACTATTGGAAAGAGTCGGTCTTCTTCATCTGCCATTTTACGTGTAGACTGTCTTATTTTCATTATTACCAGCCTGGCTGCTGAAGCTCTTTGCATAAGCAAATAACATGAGTGTGGAAATCTTGACAGTCTTGTGTTCTTCTCTTCTGTGTCTAGCTTAAAAATACCTTTTGGATGGATGAATTTAAAAATATTCATCACAGCTATTTACTTATTTATTTGTTTACTTTAGTTTATGTGTGTGCTTGCACAAATATGGAGTCAGAGGACACCTGCAATTCTCGGTTCTCCGCAGCATCAAATTCAACGCTGACGTTCAAGAACTATCTATGAGCCCTCAAAGGAATGATTTTACTCCAATATATTTATAGATTTCTAGTGACTGAAAAGAAAAACCACATGACCAGAGAAGTTTCAAAATTTAACTAAAAAACAAAATGAAATAAAAAAAAACACCAAAAATACCAAACCCACAAACATTACTGTGCTGCTGGTCTGAGTTGAGCTATATTATAAAACTTCCCAAGTACTAGACATCCTAGGAGGAGCAGTACCAGCTATCTCAAATGAAAACAACCGACAGAATTCACTAGCAAAAGCATGCCTCACATTTGCTATGCACTGACTCCTCAGTAAGGTGAGACTGTCCTTAGATATGTAATCACGTCAGTACCCATCCATCCATCCACCCACCCATCCATCCATCCACCCACCCACCCATCCATCCACCCATCCACCCATCCATCCATCCATCCACCCATCCACCCACCCATCCACCCATCCATCCACCCATCCATCCACCCATCCATCCACCCACCCATCCACCCACCCACCCATCCATCCATCCACCCACCCACCCACCCATCCATCCATCCACCCACCCACCCACCCATCCATCCATCCACCCATCCACCCACCCATCCATCCATCCACCCACCCATTCATCCATCCATCCACCCATCCACCCATCCATCCATCCATCCATCCATCCACCCACTCACCCACCCACCCACCCACTCACCCACCCACCCACCCACTCATCCACCCACCCACCCATCCATCCATCCATCCACCCACCCACCCATCCATCCACCCATTCATCCATCCATCCATCCATCCACCATCCATCCACTCACTCATCCACCCACCCACCCACCCATCCATCCACCCATTCATCCATCCATCCACCATCCATCCATCCACTCACTCATCCACCCACTCACTCATCCATCCATCCATCCATCCATCCATCCATCCACTCATTCATCCACCCATCCATCCATCTTTGTTTTCTCAAGACATGGGTTTTCAGTATTGTCCTGGCTGTCCTGGAACTCATTCTGAACTCATTCTGTAGACTACGCTGGCCTCAAACTCAGAAATTCACTTGACCCTGCCTTCTGAGTACTAGGATTAAAGGTGAGAACCACTACTGCCTGGCTCATATATGAATTTTTTTTTGGAAAGATTTATTTATTTATTACGTATACAACATTCTGCCTCTATGTATGCCCGCACGCCAGAGGAGGGCGCCAGATCTCATGTGGTTGCTGGGAATTGAACTCAGGACCTCTAGAAGAGCAATCAGTGCTCTTAACCACTGAGCCATCTCTCCAGCCCCTCATATATGAATTTTTAAAAAGTATACAATAAATGTGTATTGATTGAAATAAATCTATGAAGAACTAACTAGCAATCTTCTTAGTCAAGAGTAATAGTACTATTAATAATACATTAATATCGAAAACCTTTGAGTGTGCAAGTGAGAGAAAAGCTCAGCGTGCTCTCGAATCTCTCACTCACAGCTGGGTAAGCCTGGGGCTGTCCCTCCCCTTCTCTACATCCCATGTTGCTAGGGACAGAGTTTGCATGAGTTCTGGGGATCTGAACTCAGGTTCTCATGCTGCACACCTCCCCAGCTCTGACAGCCATGTTTAACTGGGTGGGTAACATATATGCTGGTTTAGATTAACGCGCGTGCACACACACAAAAACAGGTGTACATGTGTGTGCATGAGCATGTGGAAGCGAGAAGGCACCTTCAGGTGTCATTCCTCTGGAATGCTATCCACTGTCTTTTTTTTTTTATTATTATTCTTTTTTTGTTTGTTTGTTTTGTTTTTCGAGACAGGGTTTCTCTGTGGTTTTGGAGCCTGTCCTGGAACTAGCTCTTGTAGACCAGGCTGGTCTCGAACTCACAGAGATCTGCCTGCCTCTGCTTCCCGAGTGCTGGGATTAAAGGTGCGCCACCACCGCCCGGCCTATCCACTGTCTTTTGAGGCAGGGTTTCTCACCGGCCTAAAGCCTGAAAACCAAGCTGAACTGTCTGGCCAACAAGCCACAGGGATCCTTCTCCAAAGGACCCTTCTGTCTCTGCTTCTCCACTGGGATTCTAAGTGTGCGCCACCAAGCCTGGCTCACCTGCCAACCAGCCTGCTTTCAATTCAGATTCGTTTGCAAGCATTTTACTGACTAACCCATCTCTCCAGCCTCCATACAGCTCATTTTTGGTCTAAGAAAATAGGTACGATCAGCGACTATTTTGACAACACATGTAAGAACTACAGTAACTACCTGATTACAAGATGTAAATCAATCTTCTTTCAATCATGGAAGAAATTAACAGTTCAAGAAGACGAGACTGAAGTAGGATCACCTTAAGAGGGTCCTTACGGGATTAAGTGGGTTTGGGCACAGGATGTCAGGCACATGACACCTGTCATTTCTAAAAGCTGTCATCAACATTCTAACATTTCAATTATATTGCTAATAATGCATTATTCCTATAGGAACTCAGATGATTGAACTAAAAAGTCAGAAATAAGGTTTAAGAACACAGAAGGTTTAAATTTTGAGGGCTGGGAATATAGTTCAGTAGTAGGGCAATTGCCTAACATGTATGATACCCTAAGGTCAATTTCCAGCCTTGAAAAATAAATAAATAAATTAACAAATTAATAAATATTTTGGGAAGACTGTTTTTCATCTCTGAACTACCTCGTAAAATTGGAGTTCTTAAAAAAGTGAAATAAAAATGCTTCAGTGTGATTTTTCTGTACAAAGATATTAATAAATAAGAAGAAATATATTACTGTTACCTCAAGGGTAAAGCCATACCTTAGTAACTTTGGATTTCTACGCAGTATATTCTACAGTTAGTATTCTGTGACTTCAGACTGCAGAACTCAGTGCCATCTTAAGAGGAAGAGAGGAGCCACAGAACTGTACCTCGCCATTAAAACAGTGGCGGACCTCTTTCAACGGCTTCCAAGTCCGAGATGCGCCGGGGTCCGGGGTCCGCACACACGAGGCCAAGTTAGATGCTCGTGTATCTGGGAAGCATGTTTCTGCATGTCCTAAGGAATGTGGGAGCACTTAGCCCTGCTGTCGGATTGCCACTGCCCGATGTCTGGACAACCGCAGTAACAACAGGTGAGCAACCAGCTCTGCAGGGTGGACTCAAGTGCTACATCAACAGGAAATTCTCAAACTTCCTCCAAAAGATAAAGAGTAAGGCAAAGAGAGTTTCACTTACCTCTCTCTTTGCAGAGGACGAAAAGGAACTCAGCAGCAATTTGCTTGACCCCAAGGTCGACATGTGTCATGAGGCGCACCAGCTTATTCCTCACTGTCGAGCCCACTTCAGGCCGGTTTGTCACATCCCTCAACGGTGGTAAAACCTGACGCATAAATGAAAAAGCCACCATCAGTTGGGGCCCTGGTGTGTGACAATGGTACTGTGCCATGGGTCAGTCTTAGTTTTATAAGAGTAAAATAATCATCAACAACAGCCACACCTAGATCATCTCATGTGCAGAGCACGGCTCTGTTCCCTGTCACCTGGTTATCTCAACACTTGCAGTGCTTCTGGTGCCTAGCAAACTTAATTTAAGAGTCTTTATCGAGTTTCTCTTTCTTGCAGGGTATGGCAGTATACACAAGCACAAGGCAGGCTAAACAAGGAGGAAATGAGCTCAAAGTCTGCTTTAGCTACATAGCAGGGCTGCCTCCAAAACCAAAAGGAGGGAAGGCCAGTGGAGCAGTTTCTGTGAGCATAAGGACCTGAGCTCAGTACTCAGAAACCAGGGAAAGTCCAGAGGTGGTGGCATGGGCTTGTGATCCTAGCGTGGGTGAGTGGAGACAGGAGGATTCTTGGGGCTTGCTGGCAAGCCAGCTTAGCCAAGCCAGAGAGTTTCAGGACAGCAACACAGGAGTGAGGGGGAGAAAGAAAGTAGATGGTGTCCAGGAGTCCACATTCCATACACATCTCCCATCTGCACCAGCACCCAGGGTTTCCCATTCCTCCACATACTTCTTTTGTAGCTCAAACCATATGGACTTAACTCTTTCAAGTCTAGCAGCATATTCAGTATTTAATTTTTTAAGATCTGTATTTATGCTTTTTAGTTGTTTAATTTTATAATAAAAATGGCTATTTCAGGTTGAATATTCCTAACTCCAAAATGTGAAACCTTTGAGTACTGACATGATGCCATATATAGAAATTCCATATGACAGGGAAATGAACTTCATGTGAAGGGTTAAGTGAAGATGTGCTAACGATGGACAAATCATCTTAAAGCTCTGGGTCTATACAGAACAAAAAGAAGTTCATATTCACAGCAGGGTCCTAGTGCAAAGTATCTTACTGTGTAATCTATGCAAATCCCCCAAATTTTAAAACATTATAAATCTGAAACACTTTTAGACCCAAGTATTTGAGGAAGAGAAAATCTATCATCACCAAGCTGCAACAGATCACACACACACACACACACACACACGCATGCACACACCCCCCGCTCTTTCTGCATGCCCCTGTCCAGCTGTTACTATCTCCCCCATCTCCCACCATTAGTCTTCTATGATCCTGTCCATGCTCTGGCCAGCTGGCAGAAGAAATATTTATTGTGTACCCTCTTTCCACTGAAGTGCATTCTGTGATTCTTAGGAGGCATGCACTGGGGTGTGTCTTTCTTTCTCATCGTTTCTCTCTTAACCCTAATGCTTATCCTAATATCTTTTTTCAAAAGTAAGTTCCATAGGGACAGTTCTCCTTTCTTTATTAGTCTCCTCTCAGTGCCTGGAATATTATAAGTGTCCAATAAGTATTTGTTGATTTAGAGGGAAATGAATAAATCCAAGTAATTTTCATTACATGATGTATTGGTTCATTCTCTGCTACTGTAAGAAAAGACTCACGGCACACTATAACTTTACAAAGAAAACCGTTTTCTCTAGTTTACAGTTTTGGTGATCCTACCTACTGGTTCTACTTCTGGTGAGGGCTTACTGGAGGATGGTATCACAGAAGCAGGATGTTTGTAGGAGTCAGGGATTTAAGGGTCATGTCAGCTCCAGTTTGTTCTGTGAGAGCTAAAGGGTCTCATAGGAACTCTTAAACCATGCTGGGCAGTGCCCCCCAAGACCTTTCCATGTAAACATTTCATGAGTCAATACATCTTAAAGGTTCCACATCATCACCCACCACTGCCGCTTTGGGGACATCAAATTTCTACCGTGTTCATAGAGCAAAAAGCACACCCGAACCACAGCAAGTGCCTTCTGTATAAAGAATGAGTACTTGCACTAGGCAACAAAGCATATTACAAAGTCGAAGAATGATCTACTGTGCACCTATTCAGACTGTATAAATGTAGCAGTTCTTTAATTGATTTAACTAACTGGTCCCCTTCCATCTCTATGTAATGTACAGGGATTGGAAATACAGCTATAAATTAAAAAACAAAAAATTTCAGACAAGTAATCTATTCAAATATTTCTAGAAAAGGTGAGATTAACATAAGGCATAACTCTACCGGGTTTATTTCCTATTTCCCTGGGAGAATGAGTCATGTGATAGGCGATTTCTACAGTAGATACCTTAGTATCTACAGGAAAGATTAGCATGCAAAATTTGTTAGCTATTTTGTTGTTACATGTCACTCCCAAATGGCACATGCGTTTCTCCTCACATTATCCTTCAACACTTTCTTGCTAAGCTGTATCCAGTTTCTCTTTGTTCCACAGCTCTTCTATAGGTCCCTAGACTATACCACCTGGGTCAGTACTTTCCACTGCTTTCATTTGTAACTGCTCAAATAGAGCACCCCAGGGCAGTTTCCCTTGGTACATGTGACTTAGATTTAATAAAGTAGTTGCTACTACCTGCAGTAACTAGTTAACAGGGAAGTTTCCCTTGGTACACATGAGTTAGATTTAAAAGGTAGTAGTAACTAGTTAGACCTAACTTCAACTACAGTATTATCAAAGCTACTAATCTGTGAATCTCCTTGGTGTTAGAGTTAGAGTTTGTGCCAAGTACATGCTCTGAGACCATGTGCTACATTAAGCTCCGCCTTCTTTGAGTGCAATCTACAATGTATCCTCTTTAGAAGTTTGTCTCCTTCTCTTTTCTTCTTCTCCCTCCTCCCTTTCCTTTTTTTCATAATCATTTTGTTTTATTGAGGTTCCACTCTCTATCTTGTTACTGTATTGTCCCCCAACCCTAAGACTATATCTGCAAAATAAAGTTAGGTGAAGAATGTGTGGTTTTGTTACTCTTGTTTCATTGATAGAATAATTTTACTAAGAGGTCTCTAGACTTAGCTACCTAGCTAGAGGACTTGTTAAAGATCTTCCTCTCAGCATAAGTATTTTTCTTCGAAGTCCAAGGACTATTTGATTAGAGTTTGAGAGAAAAACAACAGGACAGGCAAGCTGTATGTTTTGGCAGCTGCTAGGAGGAAGATGAAGAAGAGGAAGAGGAAGTCAAGTCCTTTGAGTTGGAATCAGTCCTGGAAGTCTGTGAACAGCTGTAGAAAGGGGGTGGGGAGTGCTGGGGCAAGTACTCTTAGGGTTTTGGCCAGCAGCCAAAGAACAGAAAAGAGGACAAGCCAACGTTACAGTGAGGAGCTGTACGCACCTGTGGCAAGGGAGGGCCGTGGGACAGGTAAGGGTCCAGACTGTGCTGTACTCTCCATGGATTCCCCAAGGTTTCATGTGCGAAAGCATGATTCCTAGTGTGGTGGTGGCAAGAGGTGGGGAGCTGACCTTTAAGAGCTGAGGCGACGGGGAGGGTTTCGGGTCACAGGGGAGTTGTTCCTCAGGGATTAATGTAAATCTGCTGAGACCCTCCTGCAGGGTAAGCTGTTACAAGCTGGGGTGCGCTCACTCTGGCTTTCTGCTTTCAGACACCATCTTCCTCCTTGTATACATGCTTCTGACACAGGCAATGCAGCCCTCACCAGAGCCAAACCAATGCCAGTGCCTTACTTTTAAATCTGTTTTCTGTCAAGTCAGGCTGCCTCAGGAATCTCGTTATCGCAATGATGAGCAGCAGACAGACATAAACATGGCCCCTAAAACAGGGTCGTTCACTGTGACTCTACCTGAAAATGAGAATTTGACAGGAAAATAGAAAACAAAGTCATCACACTGCTACCAAGACCCTGACCATAATGGATCCATGTCCTATGACACTGCAGGGCCTGGAATTAGGAGTGCTTGACTAGTTTATTTGGCTAGAGAAATTTCAAAACAAGAAAACATTGGGGTTATGATATTAGTGTTCTGGCTATTGTTAGATCTATAGTAAGAGTTGGAAACAAAAAGGAATGAAATAGAAAGATTTGTAAACCTTGCAGCTTGCCCAAGGAAGGAATAAAAACTGTATGTAACTAAAAGTAGGCACACTGAGAGACTGTTAGGGACTGGCAAGAATGTTAATTATGAGGTTACATACAAGCCTTGAGGCCATCTCCCAAGTCTTCTAGGCCACTCCCCACCCTCACCCCAGGCCAAGAGACGGGTCTTTCAGGACAGCACTGTCTTAGGTACAGAGTTCGGGTGCTCTGTACTGGCTTACTATCCGGGACCACCTCAGGATTTGTTTTCCTGTGTCCAACTGGGGAAGCTCTGGCTGCAGCCATGGCTCAACCAGGCAGAAGCTGGGTTCATATCAGAGCAGACTTTCCTGCCTCTCCACGGGGCTGGTTCTGCAGGTGTGCAGAATTTAAGACTCATGAGATCACGATGGTGTCAACCACAATTTCAAAGAAAGGCAAGCAGAAGTCTGCAGGCTCAGAGCCCTTGCAATGAGTGCCCGGTGGGATGATGCATGGTAGAGCTGCTGAGGTAGAGCTACAGTAGGGACCCAAGAAGCAAAGGTCACTAACAACACGTCACACCTGCTCAGGAAAGCCACGCATGTGTTCGTCATCTGGGCGATGGTCAGAAAAACTGCAGGAACCACAGGGTGCTGAAGACGCCAGACTTTCAGTGTCTTCCCCACTCTCAGCTCTTTCTTGGAATGGAAACATAAGCCTGGTGACTGTGCTACCACGCACACCGGAAGTGGAGGTCATTTTGATTTTACAGATAGAAGGAATTTACCTTGAGTTTCTGAAACTTTGTATTTTTTTTTGTTTGTTTGCTATTGTGTGTGCACATACACGCAGACATATACACGGAGGCCAGGGGACACCTCTGTGCCTTATTTTTCTCTCTGCCTTATTCCCTCGAGGCAGGGTCTTTCATTGTGCCTTGCCCTACGCTAATAATGAACCAGTCATCCTCACCAGTCCTCCTGTCACTGTCCCCTGCAGTGCCCGAGGTTACAGTTAACACATGGCTATGCCCAACCATATTACGTGGGCAATGAGGATTTGAACTCAGGTCCTCGTGGTTATGAAGCAAGTGTTCTTGCCCACTGGGTCAACACCCTGGACACCTGTTATTGTTTTGAGTCAGGTTTCACTATGGATCTCAGGTTGCTACCACTATGTACCTTAAGGGATGCTGGAACAAGACTATCAGGAGTGGAGTGGCTATTTTGAACGGTGAGGATGTGAACACTGAACATGAACAAGCGAGCCCAGAACTGGCTTTCTCTTTCTTTCTCTGCTTGCAGGTTTGCTAAGATAGGAATAAACAGCTTTGTGTTCCTTATGTCACAACTAGGAGCTGCTGTAGCTTCCATGCCTTCCTTACTACGATGGACCAGGAACCAGAATAGACTCCTTCCCCTTGAGTGGCTTCTGTCCAGGACCTTTGTCCCAGCAACAAGAAGTGTAACTAAAGTATCCAGTGGTGTCCTCCATCTCCCTAGGAATGTGATCTCTCAACCTGGGACCCCCATAATGAGACACATCCTCCCCTCTGCAGTATCGTCACAGGCTAACAAACAGCTCTCTTTTCACCTGCCCTGTCTCAACACCTCACCCACAGTGCGGCGTTTCCCAAGGAGACAAACGTCTTGTACTCTTGTGCATCTACACAGCATGTGGCTTACAAATAGGTTTCCAGATATAGAAATAGGATGTCCATATCAGAAAAAATAAACACAGCCAGTTTACTTGAACCTTGACTCTGCTTTTATATTAACAAGAACACAGAAAATGAAGTCTTTTAAGAAAGCATTTATGCTTCTGTGTATGGGTATTTTACCTGAATGCACGTCTGTGCGAGATGCGCATGCAGTGCCAGTGGAGGGAGAAGAGGGCACTGGACCCCTAGACATGGAGGGACAGACAAATGCGAGCAGCAGAGTGGATGCTGAGAACTGAGCCTCCCTCCGGAAGAGAAAGCAGTGCTCTTAACCCAAGCAATCTCTCCAGCCCCATGAAACATTTTCATTTACTATTCTTCACCAGGTTCTTCTGGCCAAGGTACAATTCTTTAAAGCAGTCAAACCGGTAACCACATAGGGCTGATTAACTTATCTGGCTGAAACAGTGACCATGCTTTTATTATTTATCTGCTTAGAGGGACACGAGTTCCTGCTTTTTGAGGTCTTCCATCAGCACTACTCCGGGGTAGATACACAGTAAGGTGTCTACTTCATGTTCACCACGTATCAAAGTGATCCTGACTGATTTATCAATGGGAATGGAGGATGGGAAACGATGCACTGACTTGGGCTACACTAAAGGACAACATCCAATAGTGGAGTTACCTCCGAGCCTTCGCCAGCCGTCTCCAGGGGTCTAACTATGCCACAGGGCGGCATCCACTCATGCTCCACTATACTCTTAGACACAGCAGCTCAAGTATTTTCAACACAGATGCAGTCCTACCAAATCCTCTGAAAAGATTCCAGTGTTTTCTCATCTTACTTAGAGAGAATCCAAAGTGCTATGCAAGCTTGTCATCGCCCTGTGGACTCTGCTGCCCTGACCGTCTTTCCTTTCTGCCTTTTGTCCAGGAACACTGGCTGCTGCACGTCCCGCAGCATACTGAGGCTTCGCAGCTGAGAACTCTCAACATTCTGAGACACTTCTCAGTTCTCCAACTTCCTGCTCACTGTCACCCTTTGGGAGCACTCCCATATCTCAGCGGAGCACTCCCATACCTCAGCTCTCCTCTCCCCTTCTCTACAACACTGACCATGCCCTGCAAGGGTAAAGGACTCATGGTACCGAATACTTCACAGCAGACCTCAGTGAGCATGTGCCGGGTCAATGGGAAAGAGTAACAATGTACACAAGACCGTTTATTCTGGTTAGAATTCATTAGTTCTACGTTAACAACATATAAACAAAGTTTTACATTTAAGATGTAAGCAGTTACCTGATCTTTGAGAAATTTTCGGATGTTCCGATGGGCTCGGGAACACTCTGTTAATAAGCTGAGAACTGGAGTTAGACCCTCTCTATAGCTGCTTCCCTACAAAGAAAACCATGCATGCCATATTAGTCCAGTTCCTAAAGGATGGCTCTCCTCCGTAACCTGAGAATATGAAGACATTTGTTTTTTTTTTTTTTTTTTGAGGGGAAGAAGGGAAGAGGAGGACATATCTTAGGATATCTAAGTTTACAAACAATGTTTAAAGTTACTTTAAATAGTATTTCCATAAGTTGTCTCCATTTTACTTTCTAGTTTTGTCTTTTCTGGTTTTCCCTACGTGTTCTAGGGTTTCCACCAGCTTAGTTAATGCGCTTCAATGAAGCCAAAGATTGTGAGATACATCGAAGCCACACTGCTGCCTTTAACACATTTACCAGAGAACGTTGAGTGACAGACGAGAGAAACTGAGAACAAGACACTTCTGAAGATGTCATTTTGGAATGAATTAGTTCTTCTAACATTTACAAAGTAGCTATGCAGGGAAGTTACTCGTTTTTCCTTTGCTTTCAGATACTAGCTATAAATTTGGTGTAAAACTACAATTTTCAGCATAAATAAACTCACTTATTTCTAGCAATTTATCGTTATTATGATAAAATGTTTTTTAAAAGTACAGCTATATAGCAAGCCAAGTACAAAGAACAAGCTTAGTTGTGAGCGCAAGCTGTGTGGTCGTCTCTGGGCAGGGTACACTGGTCTTGAGATGTCCGTTCCAAGGACTCACACTAGCAGCCTTACCTTGTCAATTCTCTTCTCCATAAAACTGAGTAAGACATGAATGGCCTCCATATTCATGCCATTGTATACCATGGCATTGTTTGTCAAAGCTGTGTCTTTCTCCGCTGTTTTATCACTGGGCAGTTCATCTGGAGTCGTGGCCTCTTGGGCTGTTTCTTCGTGGGTTAATGGACAAATGAGAACATCCAAACAAGAGACTGGAACATTGCTTAAAAGGTTGACGGCATTGCTGAAAGGCAATTTGAAAATACAATATTTTAGTATGACTGAATGGGCTTTTAAAATGCAAACATAATGCAAAGTTTGAAGGTGACTTTTAGGAGTCAATTAAAATTTTTCTTTTTCAAAATGAGCCATTAATATTACTTGGCATTTACTCAGAGAAAATGAAGAACCGTCTCAAACACACACACACTACAAATGAACGAGAAGCCATGTTAAATGGACAGACACAATCACAGAATGACACGTCCCTTTCTGACACGCTAAAACAGGAATTAGCCAGCTGGAATGCCAGCGCTTTAGTTCACTATGACAATGCTGGCTCTCAATTTTCTTCAGGGGCTTGAACTCCTTTTGTGGATTCACTGGTGTTTATTATCCCTTAAATCACAACATAATAACCTGAGAAGCAACGCCTGTGAGCTGCTCGTCAGATGCAACACCATTAACACTGCTGTTCTAGTCTCAAGTCCAGCCAGGCTGTTCTTCCCAAGGATTACACACAAACCTGAGATACACACCCGCAGGGGGAACCCAAACCTTGTGCTTTTGGCATTTCCTAAAAACTATTCTGTTGTTAACAAGAACACAAGAGGTTAAAATGAGTAGAAATTCAGAATTAGGCATGTTTTCGGTGTACAGATTTTCGTCCCTGTACTACTTCCTATTTTTGACTACCAGGAGAGGCAGTGCTCATATGGAACAGGATCTTAACAGCCTGCACCCCAGGACTTCCTGATAAACAGCAATGGAAAGACAGGCCTTGCATTTCCTAGTGACACAGAGGGAGTCTAAAAATAACCACATCCTGACTAAAAATAAACTCTTGCAAATACAGTTTACAAGTCTAACCACTTGGAAACCACAGGCAGGGCTTAATCCAGCTGATGCCGTCTTAATTTAGATCATAGCCATTTAAAATGTAATTGATAGTGACACTAAAAACTAAGACAAAGCAAATAGAGCTTTTCCTTTCTTTTACATTGAAGTATGGTTTTATTTATCCATGAATTACTATTTCATTCTTTTTATATTATAAAAAATAATAATTAGTAAAAATCCACTACAAATTAGACAAAGCGGAAAATAAGTGGGAATAAAAGTGATACGAGAACCTTTTCACGACCAGACGGCCTCCGGTCCAGTGTGAGCTCGGCCGTCCTCACCGGAGCTGCAGCTCCTGGTGCAGTCTGCTCCGCTGTTTGTCAACACTCTTCCACACACTTTCACAACTCCTTATTTGTAGTTTACAATGACTTGCTTCTCACTTAAGCATTTGGAAACTGTTATTAAAAACCACAGTCACTGGAGAGGAGAAGAACTTTACCTAAGAATCACTTTCTAAAACAGTACAAGCCATTCTGAAACCCTAACGTCCCCCAACACAAGACAGCCAGCTCTGGAAACCATCAGCAGTGACTCTAAATCTATCACAGGCCAGCCGGAAGAGTTTGAGATGGTCACTCCATCACAAAGGGATGCTTCTCCTTTAGATTCACTTAAAGGAGGAGTTTCCAGGAATTCGTAGATTTAAGAAGCCAAATGTAGAGCTGGAATTAACAAATATTTGATGTTTAAGGCTTTTCAAGAAAAGTTCCCATTTTCTCATTTCTCACTGAACAACTTGGTTCTCAAACAGCTACGAAATTAATTCTCTGGCTCGCTGTGTCCAGCTACTCTGTAAGCGAGGGGTCAGCCTTTGAGCCCTGTCACTCCTCTGACAGTTTTATTCGTGGGAGAAGAGTGAGATTCCCCAGCGACCAGGAAGTCAGTACTGGTGCACACATTTACACAATGGTGTTTGCATTCCTCCTCCAGGGGGTAGGAAGGCTGTGTCCATTACTCTCCTTTTCAGTTCCTAGAGACCATTAATCACTGTGCCCTGACGCCCTCCCAGCCCCCTCCTGATATTCAGAAGCAAGGCTTACTTACAGCAACTTGGAGCCTTGATTAAAGGCTTGCAGCTGTGGGAAGGGGAAGACAATCCCAAACCTCGTCTTCCAACAATTGCTGAACTCAACAGAACGCCACATGAAAGCGAGAAGCAAGCTAACAGTTCACAGTCATCAAGAGCAAGTAACAAATCGTATGAACAAATCAAGTTTCTTTATATATGAGGTTTACACGTGCATTTTCAAGCTTGGAAAGAAAGACAAAAACAAACCTCAAGATCTTCAAAAGATTCTCCTGCTCTCTTTAGTTAAAAAAAAAAAAGTGGAGGGGGGTTAAGTTTTGTTTCTTTTGAGGTAAGAGCACTTAAGCTTAAGATCAACCCTTCTGCCAGGTGGTGGTGGCACAGGCCTTTAATCCCAGAAGGCAGAGGCAGGTGGATCTCTGAGTTCGAGGCCAGCCTGGTCTACAGAGCTAGTTCCAGGACAGGCTCCAAAGCTACAAAGAGGAACCCTGTCTCAAACAAAACAAAACAACCCCCCCCTCCAAAAAAAAAGGATTCTACCCTTTTTACCAAATGTTACATATATGCTACAGTCCTGTTAACCACAGACCCTGCTGGACAGCAACACTAGAAGTCACAACCACAAACTGTAGGTTTTTGACTGATACCACTCCCACACCCTGCCCCTGGCCCACTATCATACTTCCTGGCCCTATGAGTTTCTGTTTTAGATTCCTTACTAAAGGGGATCAGGCAGTGCTTGTCCTTTTGCGTCTGGTTTGCTTAATTTATTAGTGTCTTCTGTACCTACTGACAGGATCTCCTTTTCATCACACATATGCACTTCTCACATCTTACCCACGTATCTACTGTTAGACTTTCAGGCTGTGGCCCTATGTCCACCTCCTGTCTGTCTCTATCCTTCCCTTCTCCCTCTATGTTCTTTATCTTATCTGTTGACAGGCATCTAGGCAGTCTTCACGTCCCTGACATCGTGAATAATGATGAACATGAGAGGACAGGTATCTCTTTGAGACAATGTTTTTTATTTCTTCTGGATATCTATCCATCAGTGTGGTTGCTGGAGCCAATGCCACTTCTTTTCAATTTTTAGAAGAACTATCACACTGCTTCCCACAATGGCTACGTTAACTCACACTGCTGCTCCCCATACCCTAGTTCTGTGGTCTTTAAGCAGCCACTATAACAGATGTGAGGGGAATCTTAAGATTTTGATTTGCATCTTCCAGGAAATTAGTAATGCTAAACATGTTTTTAGATGCATGTCTTCTTGGAGGAATGTCCACTCAGATCCTCTGTCTTACCTTCGTGCCAGCCTGCCTGCCTGCCTTCCCTCCCTCCACTCTCTTTTCCCCCTTACTCCCCTTCCCCCCCCCCCCCCTTTTTTCTTGGCAATCAAGAGTCCTGTGCTGGTAATGCATGCCTGTAATCCTAGCACACAGGAGGCTAAAGCAGGGGATTACCAACTGAAGAGGAGTTTAGTCTACATAGTGAGTTCAAGACTAGCCTGAGCTACAAAGCAAGACACTGCCATCCAAAGCACAACAAAGAAACGCATTCCCTATAGGTGTTTTAGCTGCTTACTCCCTACCGAAGAGGCAGGGCAGCGATGAATAGCTTCCCATCGCACAGGTGTGATTTCACCTGGGCAGTTTCCTGTGCATGGCAGCTTTGCAGGCTGAGGAATTCCCACCTAACTATCTTTGCCTCGCTTGTCTGTTCCGGTGTCAGACCCACGAATTACTGATAAGACCAAGCCCTACAAGTTTGCTTACTAAGTTTTACTGTTTTAGACTTTATATTAAAGGCTTTAATACTTTTTTAGTTCCTTTGGTATGTGTGTATAATGTGAAGTCACAATTTAACTTCATTATTTTACATACAGAAGCCCAGTTTTCTTAACACCATTTCTTGGAGAACGTGCATTCTTTACAAGCATGTGTCAATACAGCTGACTACACATTTGTAGTATGCAGATTTACTTCTAGGCTCTCTATGCTGTTTCAATGGTCTACATGTCTATTTTCATGTAAATGCTACCGAAATTTGATTATTGGAGTTTCATCATACCTTATGAAATTGGGTACTGCCATACCTCTGAAATTTTGTTCTGACTCAACAACCTTCACTGTTAGGGGCTTTCTGTGGTGATGCGGGGGGAAAGATGACAGCACTCGGACTGAGTTTTCTGCTTCTCTTTATGGTCACATGTTTGCTGGTGACACTGAGCTAGAGTTGTCTAGGCAAAGTAGCAGAGGTGCAATTCTGATGACTGCCTGTTAATTCATTTGTGTAATCAAAAATGAATAGGTGAAGCCCACAGAAACATTAAGTTCAAAGCAATATTCTGTAAAGCAGGGTAGGGCACATGCAGCTGCAGAGAGGTACACAAAATGATCCACTGGGGCGCAGAAAGAAAACAATTTTTACCTACTTCCGCTTTGCTCTCTGACCAATGTACTGACACTGGTGCCCAGACTTCAGCCATAGGTGCCACTCCCCACACAAGCTTCAGTGACGCAGAGGGAAGAATACAGATTCTGGGATATGAGAAGACCAACCGTGACCCCTTTTCCTTGGTCACGCACTTGCATTCATCGGCATAGGCTTAGGTGGCTACGGACTGCTTTTCCACGCTTCTGTGGGAGGAGAGGGCTGCTCTCTGGGGCCTCACATCTGTTAAAAGCTATCCCTGAGCAAAATTGTCAGCCTTGCTTCTTAAGTTTTAAGTTGAGCAAATTCTTACAAAACAGGCGAACTGTTTTCAGTGACTCCTGCAGAGGAAACCTAAATTTAAGACATTACTTAAAATAGTAGCACATTTTACTTTCTTTCTGACAAGAAAATGGCAGAATCCTATGTTTTTGCTGAGCCATAAGGAAAGTCAGGACAATTCAACCGGCTGCAGCATGGACTCACGTTTCTGAGACTGGGTCTCATGTGACCCAGGATACGAATTCACTGTGTAAACTTTGAGAGTGAGTCCCCACACCAGAGTGGCCATAAGTTCACTGAGTAGCTGACAGTGACCTTGAACTCCTGACACTTCTGCCTCATTACCAGAATGTACCCACCAAAAATTTGTTTAAAAA